TTTTTTTGTATTAACATCTTTTATCTTAAGATTAATTTGATAAATTGAATAATTGGATATTTTAGCATAAATTTCTTTATATATATAAAATATTAAAAAGGGTTTAAAAGCATAAGATCCTTCACATTGAAAAATATTATTTCCAATATCTTTAGTTGTTAATGTTAATGTGAATTTTTGTTCAAATTGATTTAAAAAATGTTGTTTATGAGTTAAATATTGGAATTTTTCAAGGGTTTTATTATTATTCATCTCTTGAAATGCCATCTTTTGGATATATTAAAAGAATACCAAAATCACTCATATTTTATTACTTTTAATTTTTTGTGTTATTAGTATAAAATTATTAATTAAAAATAAAATTAAAATAGAATAATAAAAAAATTATTAATTATAAAAATAATAAAATAAATTATAAAATATTTAATTGATTAAATAATAAAAAAAATTCAAAACATGTCCTTTGATATTAATGATAATTTATTTTTTAATTTCGATAAAAAAATAGAAAAAATCATAATTAAGCTTATAAATTATTAATAAAATTAAAATAGATTATTTTAATTTAATACATATATAATATAATTCTTATTATTAATGTATTTTTTTTTTATCTTTTTACATTTATGAAAATTCACATAATATCTAGAAGAATATTTTACATAACAAATATCACATCGAATTTTTTTTCTATTAATATAAATATTATTAATATGTTTGTTATAATTTGATATGTTAATAGTTGTATAACTGTGTGTTTCACATTTGTAATATTTTTTTCTGATATGATTTTTATAATGATTTATATCTAATAAACAAATAATAATAATTAATATTTAATAAAATAAAAATAATATGTAATAACAAAAAAAAAATAATTTACTAGTAAATTTTTTTTTACAACATTGTAATTACATAGTTTTTAATAACACAATTTCTTTGTAAATTTTTTTACAATTTTCACACATTAATTCCATGTTTTAATATTTGAATTTTATATATTTTTATTTTGTCTTTTTAAATATTAATTCTTTTGTATTTATTAAAAAAATATTAATAATAAGAATAATATAAATAATCCTATATTGTGATTTCTTTTATTTATCATTTAAAAAAATGTCTTATGATCAAAAAAATGAATTACAAAAAAAATACCATCAAGCTATTAAATCATTTAAAGAAGAAAAATATAAAGAAGCTGTTAAATTATTTGAACAATCATCAAATATAAATACAAAATCTTTACTTTATCTTAGTTATTGTTACGAATATAGTTTAGGTGTTTCAAAAAATATATGGACAGCAAGAGATTATTATGAATTATATATTGAAGAAAATAATGATACTAGTGCTATTTTCTGTTATATTAATTTAAATCTAAAATTATATAAAAATACAAATCAAAAAATTAATACTTTTTTTGATTTTACTAAAATAAAGATACGAAATATCAATTAAAATATCTTATAGGTTATTCATTATCATATAAAAAATTTGGTGCAAATCTAACACTATTTTTAGGTAAAAAATATCTTAAAGATACAAAAAAATATTTAAAAAAGAATATATCTGAAAATCATTTATTAAAATTATATAATATTTGGTATAAAAAAACCAATGAATTTTTTAATTTAATCATTATATTAAAAAAAATTAACATAGAAAAAATAAAAAATTATTTTGAAATTGTTATTGAAAAAGGAATAGTTGATAAAAAATTTGAACATCAATTATATGAAAAATATTTATGTAATTAGTAATAGTTTAAATTTTTTAACTAGAACATATAAAAAATATGTATACAATTTTTTTTTAATTCTATATTAAGATATTTCTTTGTTTATCTATACCGAATATACATAAATAAATTATATTATCATACATGATTATTTTTTAACAAATAAATTTTTGTTATATATAAAATTGATCATCATTATTAAATGAATTGAATCGCTACTTTTTTTTAATTTTTATTTTTACAACTTTGATGAATACTAAAAAGTCTACAAACAACTAGGGCTTCATATACAATAGGGCCTCTGTATAATTTTTAATGTCTGTACTGGTCTTAGGATGTCTAAGTCAGTTAAAATATTACAAGCATAAAATGTTGTATATGCAAAAATTAGTTGTTTGTTAGAATTTATAGTAGAAAAGTCATAAACTTTTACATTTTTTCTTTATATTATCAGACAGTTTTAATATACTTTGGCCATTCAAATTTCTTTTTGATAAACAAAATTGTAATTTATTAAAATTAAATAATGCAATAAGTGATATATCAAAATAGCTTAGGAGCTGATATATCTCTCTCTTTAAAAGGCATTAAAGATTGTTTATGAGATTTTCTTTTGAAAACGATAAATAATCTACTCATTTATGAGAAGTGCCGTTATGTGGCAGATGTGATAAGTAATCATAATAATTTAATTATGATGAAACTAAACTTCTCGCTTTTTTTAAACAATTTATTTTTATTAATTTTTTTTTTTTAATATAAAATTTAAATATCATAAAATACATATTATTATTAATAAAATCTTAAATTATTAATTTAATAATAAATAAAAAATATAAATAACCTATTTTTTTCTATTTAGAATTAAAATATTTATAAAATGAAAAGTTTTTGGAAAAATAAATTTGAAAACTTTGAAAATATTTACAATTAGGAAAAATATAAAAATCCAAATAAACTAACATTAAAATTAAATAAATATCGATTAATAAAAATTGATTTTAAATTGTATTTTGAAGTTAAAACACAAAACTTAGAAATTACATTTTTATGTGATCTTAAAAACTTTAATCTTTTACAAAATCATACTTGGCATTCATATAAAAATAGAAATACATATTATATTAGAACTAGAATTAATAATAAAAATATTTACTTTCATCGAATAATTCATTCTGAATGAAATATAGTTGATCATAGAAACAAACATGGTCTTGATAATTGTGAATATAATTTACAAAAAACAACAATAAAAGAAAATGTATTAAATTGTAAATTATGAAAAAATAATACATCTGGATATAATGGAATTTTATTTGATAAAAAAAGAAATGCTTGGTTTTTTGTTTGGAGAGATGGAAATAGTAAACAAAAAATAAAAAAATATTTCATTACTAAAAATAGAAATAGTAAAGAAGCAAAACAATTAGCTATAAAATTTAAATTAAATAATGATAAAATTACAAAAAATCTAAATGGTAATTTTAAATAAATACTATATAAAATCTTAAAATTCTTTAAAATTATTAATTTAAATATTATAAATAAACTATTTTTTAAGTAAAAAAAATATTCATAAAATATCTGTTACTTCAGTAAAAATCCTTTAATCATATATGATTATGGTTATAAAAAAATAACATGTAAGTAAATTACTGAATATAACATGTTTAATGTATTTTAGATACAATTTTACACTGGAAGTTTAAGAGTGAGGTGTTATGACTGTCCTTCAGTAACACAATCGCCTTCTGTAAACCTCCGAGTTTGGTTAAAATGAGATCAATGTGATAAGTTTTAATCAAAAACATGATGATGATATAGTGTATTCATAAATATTTTTATTTTTAGGAACTTCAAATCATTGAAGAATATAAAAAATATATAAAAGAAATTTTAAGAATCTTGGAAAATATTGAAAGAGTTGTTTTCGATAAAAATTATAATATTGATTCTATTGATAATAATAGAGATAAAGATATAATATTTTATGAAAATTTTAAAATAATTATTCATTGTAAATATAGAGAAAAGGTTAATATAAGATATCCAAAAATTGAATCATTAAATTTATTTATAAAAACATATCATAATGACCATATTGGTGTTATGGTTACAAATAAAAATTATTCTAAGAATGCTATAAAAGAATCAAAAAATATGAATATTATTATATATCAAACACAAAATTCAATTAAGAACATTAAGAAGGAAATCAAATTTTGAAAGAAATTGATAACTTAGAAAAAAGAAACATCTTGTAAACTTGTAGTTGAAGTGTCAAATGAATAAGCTTTTATAAAACTTGTAAATTAATAATAAAATTTTTCAATTAATAAATATTTAAATTTTATTATCAAAAAAAATTTCTTTGTAAAGATTTAAGTACAAATAACATTTTTGAAGATTGAATAAAATACATATTTCTTCTAATCTGACCTCTAATTTTTATAATGTTTCCTTTTTCTTATATAAAAAATATTTTATATTGTTTCTAATGATCATCATATCATTCAGTCAATACATCTATTAATGAATCAATATCAAATTCACTAATATCTCCAATTATACCACAAACTATTATTTTCATTTCTCTATTATTTTGATTCTTAAAAACAACAATACCAAAATTTATATTTTTGGGAAGATCATACATTTGATAAACTTCAACTTGAAGAGGTTTTTTTAATTTAAATAATTCATCTATTATGTCATCTGTAAAATCATTTGATATTGTAGTATTTATTTCTTTAAATAAAAGTAAATAAATGAAAAAATATATTAAAATTTTATTTATCTTTAATAAAAAAAATTATATTATTTATTGAATATTTATATATTTATAAATTAATAATTATCTATAATTATCTTCAAATTTTTCTTTTATAAAATTTATTACTTTTTCATTAGCTTTTAATTTTTTTGGATTAAAATTTACTATTTGTAAATTATTTGGATCAGTAGCTCATGAAAATGCTACACATAATTGTTGACTTTGAAAAACATTTTTACAATCTACTATCAATCTTCAAATCATTAATCCTTGTGATTTATGTATAGTAATACCATAACTTAATATTAATTGTAATTGTTTACAGATAACTATTAATATACCATCATTATTTCATTTTTGAAATAATCTTGGTTTAATTTCTATTTCTTCTCTATATCATTAAATTTAACAATTGGAACTAAAAAAACTGAAGCTACATTTTCAGGAACTTCTTCTCTATATATAGTTTTACCATTCTTAAACCCAACTATTATTCCAGTAGATCTATTAACTAATTTATTATTTTCTTTCTCATTCCAAATATATAATACTTGTACACCGATTTTTAAATTTATTCTTGTTTCTGATAATGTACTTTTATCTAACTATTCAATCAATTCTTCATGTGTTGGTTTTTGATTTCTATTACTATTATTTTTAGCAACAGACCATTCTTCTGTTTTGAATAATAAATTTTTACTAGAAAGATCATTTAATTTATTTCTATTACATATTTCAACTTCATTAACTGTTGCAAAAAGTTTTGTTGGTTCTTCACTGTCATTATATTTAATTAATCGTGTTAAACTTTTAATATATTTAAGAAAACCTAAATCTATTTCTTCAAATCTCATTCTATTAAGACCATCAATAAAATATGTATCTATTTGTCGATATAGTTTTTTTAACATAACATATTTCTCAATTATTAAATCTCAAACTTTACTTTCAAATGCGTAATTTCCTCTTACAGGTTTTAACTATAAAAAATTACCTGATAATACTAATTGAATTTCACCAAATGGATTTTTATTTTTATGTATTTCTCATGCGATCTGGTCAATGAAATCAGATGTACTGCATTTATCATAGAAATCTCATCAATTATTAATATCTTTGTATTTATCTATCTATTATAATGAAAATTAGTTCTTTTATAAATTTAATTATTTCTTTAAGTGATTTATCCATAATACCAATATTTGTGTAACTATGTAATATAATACCACTTATATTCATTGCAGATAAACCTGTTGATAAAGTAACACTGATTTTATTTTCACTATATTTTGCATATAATTTTTTAATCAAGACATTCAACATAAAAGTCTTTCCACAACCTCCCGATCCTGTAAAGAACAATGATTTTTTTTCATTCATAACAATATAAATAATTTATTGTTGTTCTGGTGATAACATTTCTTCAGGATTTTTATCTATTTCATCATCAACATTTTTTTTACTTGGTTTAAATTTTTTATTATTATATTTTTTTCATTATTTTTACATTTGAGTTTATTTATTTTGATAATAAAATTATATTCAATTATTAGTTTATTTATAAAAATAAATGATTAATAATAAAATTAATAATTTTAAACATAAGTGAAAAAAAAAATATATATATATAAAAAAATTAATAAAAAAACCATTTATCTGATCCTAAACAAAACCTAAACTATTATAAAATAAATTATTCATCACTGTTAAAATATTACTATCATTATTATTTATATTACTATTAAACCCTATTGAAATATCAATACTATTATTTATTATATTATTAGAATAAAACCCTAAATCTTCATTTTTAAAAAACAATCATTAATTGTATTATCATCAACTATTATATCATCACTAGTTATATTCATAAAATTATTATTAATATATTCATTATCTATATATATACTATTCGAATCACCTATAAAACTATTACTATCTTTATTTAATTCAATTATTTTTTGTTTAACTTCAGTATTAAGATCAAATATTTCCTCTTTTACTATTTCCTCTTTTGATTCACTTTGTAATTCTTCTATTTTTTGATGTAGATCTTCAATTTCTTTTTGAAAATCATTAATTTCTTGAAGATTTGTTTTATTTATTTCTTTAATTTCTTTGAAATGTTCTTCTTTTATTAATTCGATTTCTTCTTTTAATTCTGTTACTTCAACATTCCAACCTTTTTTTTTCTATTTAGATCAACAGAATCTTTAAAATATTTTTCTTTTTTAGCATTTATTCTTTCTAATTCTTTTTTAAGAAGTTTATTCTCTTTTTAAGAAAATCATTTTCTTCTTTAAAATTTTTACTTTTTTCTTCAAAATCTTTACTTTCTTCAATGATATTATTTTCATATATATTTTTATATTTTTCCAATTCTTTTCATAATTCTTTTACTTCTTTTTCTAAAGAAGAAGTATATAACTTTTGTTGCTTTTGATATTTTCTTTGTTGTATATAATTATAATATTTCTTTAAATTAGTTTGTTGAACATAAGCATCATCCTTTGCAGATTTTCGTCCAGCATTATGTTTTCTATTATTTTCTTTTCTAGATGAATTAGATGAAAGAGATTTGGATGAAGAAACTGGTAACATTTTTTATTTGAATTATTATTTGATTTGAATTACTATTATTATTTTTTTTTTGAATAATTCTAATTATTTTAAAATAAAGAAATTCAAAGCTTTTTAAAGCTTTTAAAAAATATATTAAAGAATACAAAAAATATTTAATTTAAATATAAAAGGAAATTACAAT